CCAGATGCGGAACAATTATTGGCAGAAATACTTGCCGTGCAGGATTCGAATCGAACTACCGAGTCAACTACACTATAATATTTTGCGTGGGGCCAATTAGGAGGGGTATAGAAAAAATGTCTTATCATTTACTAGGTGTGTAGATGTCAGACGGAAAAAAAAAATCCTCATACGGCATATTTGTAAACCCTAGCCTGAATAAATATCGAATTGTACATGAAAAAAACATAATAAGTGTAGTTTATATTTGGCATGAACTGTGGGACTTTGCACTTTTCGTGAACCAAGAAACGTAGAAAGACAGGACGAAAATCAACAAATGAACAAAATTGCATTTAATTGACTTTAACTTCCCGTTTTTACTAAATACAGACGATCAGCAGCCTATATAGATTCCACAGCTGCCAAAGCCCCCCCCCCCCCCTCCCTCAGGGACATAGCCCGACCCTGCGAAACCACTGGGGCTTGTTACACACACCAGTTTTAACCAATTACTTTGATCAACTTATTAAAAGCCTGCGATTATGGTCGAATGAAATGATTTTACGGATTTTATCGCGTTCGAAACGATGGGAATTTAATATCAAATTTATAGTTTCATCAACCATGTGTAATATTCTCGTAAAAACAAAAAAATCAATAAGCTTACGATTTAATTTTTTTTTGATATAATTACATTATGTTACTTTTTAAACTCTACTGATTAAATAAGATCTTGAACTCCTATAAGTATCCGTGCTTTAGAGATTACCGCTCAAATATGTATTCATTTATTGCTATCACCTGCACCTATTGGACACTCGAGGCGTCGTGCAAAACGTAAAGTCAACGAACCTGAGATATGGAGTCCTGTTTGCTGTGGCTTAGAGGTGAATGTAGAGGCAATAGAAAAAAAAGCAGGTAGAGCGAAAAGGCTTGTAGAAAAAAAAGAAACCTGAGGACAATATTATTACTTTTCTAAAGTAAATTGGACGCCTTTACAAGCGCTATTTATCTCCACATTGGTTTAGAAAAAACCTTGAAGTAGATGAGCATAAATCCGTCCCAGTGCGACAATGAAAGTGTTCGAAAGATCGATTGAATTATTTGAATTAGGAACTCTACAACTGCCACAAACATAGTTTCATTTAACTACGTGCCTCTCCAATACCAATTAGTTCTAACACCAACTTAATCTTACCGATTTCATGTTTGATTTGATATTACAATTCGTCATTTGAGAGAGAAAGAGATGAACCGCACATTCGTTTTTATATTACGTAAAATTACATACATAATTTTTGGTACACGAACAAAATATTTAAAAATTTTTAGCTATTTGACATTCTTTTTTACGTTTCGACAGTCGACATTTTAGATAAAAGTTTTGCATTATATATGTTTGAATGTGGTCCTTTAACTAACAATATCCTTTCGAGAATCCGAGAGTCCTTTCACTTTCTTAATGAAGTTTTATTTGTTTAAGTAAGAGGAAACCTATAGGTTTTGAGTCTCCATTTTTATTTAAAGTAAATTTTGTCTTATAAATAGTATTAAAATAAATACTTTTCTTAAGATTATTTCCCTGAATAGTCATAATAAATAGTTCATTTAATTTAAATCGATGTTTGTGTCGGGCGGTAATGTAATGAAAACATATATATACAAGAAATAAATAACTCAAAGTATGTATTTGATCAACTGGCTCCGGAAAAGTTATTAAAATTGAAAAATAAATTACTTAATAATCTAAGCAAGGTAAAAGTCGGCCTACGGCTATATAGTTAAGATATTTTTAAATACAATATTATAGAAGTTAACATTATTAGAATAAGCATTGTATAATTTACGAAAAACAATTATTTGAGATGTTTTTCTTTCTTAAATTTTTTATCGTCAACAATTAGTGAGGATAGAACCCGAGATATTAGAACTGACAACTCGAAGCGAAATATTGTAAGTAAAAGCAATTTTTGACTGCTAATTTATATATATATATATATATATATATTTTACAGGATCCAATACTATTTATTTTATGTGAAAAATTGCGAAGCGAGGAGACGGTTCACCTGATGTTAAGTGAATACTGCCGTCCATGGATATCTGCTACACCCGAGGGTTTCAGATGCTTTGACAACCGTTTGAAAATTGGGCTCCGGCCATATCACTCACCAGACGAAACGCATTACACTATTATTACATTATTACGGTAATACACTTCCACTTTACGCCGGTCCTCCGTGAGGTCGCGGTACTTACCCGGACGAGCCTGCCCATTCGTGCAACAGCTGAGGCTGCTGCGTGGCCCTACCACCGTGAAAGCAAAAATAATAACATTTATTGCACGGGCTTAATACAGCTTTAATATAAACAGTACATATAAACTTTATATGTCAAAAACTTACTTCTCTATAACAATTAGAGGAAATATTATTCTTTTATTTATTTTTATTAGTAGACATAATTAATAGTTATATTACATTTTATCGACTCTTGTATTGGACAGGTAGTAAAAATAAAAAAGAAAAAAAATACTTAAAACATTTTTCTTCTAAAAGACGACTTTGAGACCGACCGTACGATTTATGTAATAAGCAATATAAGTTTCCCATTTAGATTTTTTAATTCTACTGACATCGTTAATATGACAACAACGATTGTATAGTGCTCGATTAAGGACTTTCATTTAAATCAGTCACGTGTTGAGCCGTGACCTAATGCGAATTGTACGACGTACGACCATTATCAAACAAAACAAACGTCGCATCGGAGATGGATTATGCTAATGCCTTCAAATCGTTCGCCATAACCGCTACGTATTCATATCACGGTACGCCAGAAGATGTAGACACACACTACGCGCGACTAACGAACGAGAAAAGTAAGGGAGTCGCTACTAAGCTAAAAGTTAACAAACATCTTTATGTTAAGATGACTCCGTGACGTAGTTGCCAAAGTATTGGCTTCGGCGTCGAGAGTCGTGGGTTCGATTCCCACACGGGACAATTATTTGTGTGACCTACAGATAATTATTCCGAATCTGGGTGTTTGTCCGAGTGAAATTTATGTTTGTAAAACGTCCTTACAACACAGGATAATGTTATCCTAAAATAAGGGCAATGTTTCTTTAAAAAAAATCTTTATGTTAAGTAACCAAGGCATGGAGTGGTTACTGGTACTATTATTTTATTTTTAGAATTAATTTTAGAATTCGATATGTCAATAGGTTTTATTATCCAATATTATAAACTCCGTAATTTTATTACATAATAAAGTTTCGACTCAATGTAATCCAAATTTCGATAGATATAAAAGATGACTCATAAAATAATATTTACCGATAAAGCGCCTAAGCCTAAGCACCTCAAACTTTCAACGTCAGTGTTTGGTTCTCCAGTTTAGTTAAAAACGTGAAAGTGGTGGGCATAGTCTGACATTAATTATCGCCTTTAATTTTATTAAGTAATAACATGAAAAATGAACATCTTAATAATACTCGGGTAATCGAGGCTACCACATCAGAGTGCAAGTCTTACTTGTAGTTTGCGACCTTAAGCCTGTCTGTCGTTTGCGACTCACAGACAGACAGATTGAGGTATGCGTGCCTACCCACAAAAGGCATGGTTTATGAAGGGACCTCGTAATTCGACACTGACGTGGCCAAGTACGTTTCGTTTGCGTAGCAACGGAGCCGAAACGAGACAAGGAGGTCCGTTGGGGTCGGACGAATTTGAATAGTGGCGTTTCATAATCAAGGTTACGTTCATAAAAGGCGACTAAAAGGGGACACGGATTGGGAGCAGCTCGAAGTTGTCTCGAGCTGCTGCCAATACGAAATATGACTTTTCTCCAAGTTTATGACTTTTGTACAGTAGCAATAACAAAAGCAATAACAATAATATCCACCCATGAATAAAGATACATCGTTCGTGCCGGATCGCGTAGTCTGTGAAGTATGGACTGTGAAGAAAAAAAGGAATTTTTGTATCCCTATTATTATGTCTTAGGCCGTTAGATTCAAACTTAAAAACCCACAGCATCGAAGCTTACCTCGTAACAATTGAACCATATTGACACATGATTTCAATGCATTATCGCATACAATTACAGAAATAGTCACTGGCGTTAATCTTCAACCGAGGGGACAGTGGTCTATAAGGGGATTGTCAGTGACAACCCAAATTTGAGGAGAAATCAAACGACAGACTGTACCTTTATGCTGATGACCTCGGGAGCAAGGTGAACCCTGGAGCCAATTATTTAACGAAAGATAGAGGTCAATGTAAGCAAGCCACCTTCGGTAGACAGGTTTAGTGTATTCGTCCACAGAATATATATTATTTTAGCAATAAAGATAACGAAATACGGTGTAGTATACGTACGGCGTTTTAAAGTAAATTTTTTTTTATTTTGGATCGCAATATTGAATAAGGCCTTTATTTCAGTTTATATCTCTAAAAAGTACAGTGGGACCTAAATTTGCTTAATTATTAATTTATTACGAGATAATCAACGAAACGGCAAATCTATACATTTTATTTCAAGTGTATCAAGATGCAACTTCGCCACGATAGAAAAAAAATCCGCTCCGTGTCGTTACGTACTGTTAGATTATCATTTTCAACCCGTCACCGATCATAGAAAGTCTATAAGAATAGACTATTTAAAATAATATCACCCTATAAAAAAGGTTCACAAATGAAAAATTATAAATTCACAATAACGTTAATAAACATATTGATGACAAAAAATAAAAAATAAAATCAACTTACCTGAACAAAAACACTATTTACACTTCGGCTAAGCAACAATACTTCTTCGTTGTCATAAACATCCAAATCAATTAAATATACCGTAAAAGTGAACACAACTCTTACATTCATCCTTCAATAATCTAGAAACGTCGTTAGAAACGGTACCCAGGAGTACAAAAAATTTTCCTATCTTGAGGATAGAGTGAACGTAATACATTTCCTGTAAAGAGAAATCCATGATCGTCTTACATGTCTAAAACTCACCAATTCCGCGACTATTTGCTTCTCAAGACGTTGACACTCGTTGACCGGTTTGGCGTAGCTACGACCGTTGTTCGGCATCGCGGTCTGAAAATAAGAAGTCAATATACATCTATTACTGTAGTAGGGCCATGGGACTGCTTCTGCTGTAATGAAGTATGAAACTTCGCGTTTCGTCTGGCGACTGATTTAACCGGAGCTCACTTTTTTAAGGGTTGTCAACATGACAGCAATCCATCGGGTTTTGTACATGTCTTATAAATATTTCTAACTAATTACATTCTTGACTCCCAAACTAAGCAACGCTTATAGTACTAGATAACTGATAAAAAAAACTAAAACATAGTATACATATATACAGACCCAGACACTAGAAAAATTCTATGTCCACCACATAATATTTTTTCAGTAGTGGGGATCGAACCCACACTCTATGGCGCAGGAGGCAGGCGGCCGACTTCGTTAAAAAATGGTAGCGCCTGTAATCCAAAGATTTCCATGGGCGGCAGATATCACTTAATTGAACCGTGAACAGCCAGCTAGCTTTCCACCTTCTCGCATAAATTAAAAAATCATTACTAGATGGTACACGGCGCGTTGCTTCCGAAGTAATAGTTTTAAAAATATTTTACTTAATACTTTAAAAGAGTTTTATTGTAGTTACAGTTTCAAATACAACACACGCGGCTTAGAAAAATCGCGCAAGTACAAGCAATAGTTTGACAAATTTTGATCCCAATCAGATGGCAGTGCATAAAATTCGTTAGACAGAAATTGAAGGTGCTAATAGAGTGACAAACAGTGTATAAAGCCCTCAAATGATGCAATTGCGACGAAAATTTAAAACTGAACTTTTATAGAATAACATGAATATTTATACAATAGTAATGTTTAAGTGGACGGATTAATTGTGACTATTGTATGTGTAAGTAGAAAAGAACTCTTTCATGGGAATATAATTGACATAATTTAGCTTTACAATAACCTACATCATTCATTTCGACATTCCAATTGCTTTGAAACAATTAGCGTTTCTTAGACAATCGAATAACGACGCTTTATATGAAAAGGTGAAGAAAACTATTATTCATCAGTTCAATATTAAACAATTTGCATATTGTTTTTGTTAGAAGTGGTCATTGTTCAATAGTAATTTTAAACTTTAACACTGCTGGGCACGGTACAAACAATAATCTGTACAAAGGGCACGGTACACCACGCCACCCCCCGCGGATTGACAGATTTCACATATTTAAATTTTATTATTATTTCGAAAATATGCATGTTTATTCATAGTTTTTTTTCCTTTGCCGATGAGCACCAGATAAGTTCGCACTTAAAGTTGCAATCAACATCTTCATTGGCACCAGCACCAGGATTTGAATAAATTGCTGGACAACTAAAAGCGACCACACAAGCACTGAGCTTATCTCGGCTTTACGCAGATGTACGATAGTAGTTACGGTATTTAATGTGACTCATGAATAAATTATTTACCTTATTAGGAACGGCCGTGTACTTCAGTGCTTTATTTATGTCTTTGAAGGAATGTATAGACAAGTCCAGGGTAGAAGATTCGAGCTTATCGTTTCTCGCATTCCTCGGCTGCGGTTGACTCTTCTTTGGTTCGGGATTCTGAATGTAAGACAAAAGGAGTGGTTGTGGGAATGGATAACTAGCAATGCTTTGTTTTACGTATACTATTTTCGTCTGTTGAGTGAGGTAGCCGGCATCGTAAAATGTACAACGATTATCCGAAATCACCCATGGGGTTGCAGATGTCTCCGGCCCATGCGTGTGGCAGATATTCATGGGCGACGGTAATCAATAAACATTAGGTGAATCGCAACTCACTTGCAACGTTCTTACATAAAAAATAGGGAAAATCTCTGACACATAAACATTTTAATGAACATTCCGAAAAAAAGTATTCAGTAAAAATAGTATTATCTATCAATAAAACTAAGAATTGTGGTTAATTAAAGCCTTTCAAAAGACTTAAATACACTAGTGCATACCATAATATTTATCAACAGCTTTTAACTACCATTACTTCACACCATTCTTCTGTACATAGCACTTGGCGTACTTGACTCATTCAAGTAGCAGTAAGATAAAAACAGACGCACATAAGATATCCGAAAAAGAGTTCGGATTAGATATCTCGAAATGATTTCTAGCGTTATGCAAACACTATACAATGACGAATTGAAACTAATTAACGAATGTTCCGCGTTTTACTCCAGCCCATCCTGAGATTATGGACACTGTATAATGCGTCGGGGATTTAAATCAAAATTAAACGCGAAAATTCTACAAATTAATTTCATTTAAGATCGGGTGTATGACACACTCAGCCGAAATAAATACCTTATTTTAAAACTTACAAAGCTATGGTGCGATAGGTCGTCCTCCCAATTGTTGATCTGGTCGGCTAAAGCGGCAAGTCTGCCGAATTTCTTCTTGCCGTCTTGAGTCGGCTTGGGCTCTTTCGGTGGCTGACAAGCCGGAGGCGGGGTCGCAGAGTTGAACTCCATCTCCGTGCGATGTATCGGCGATGACAGGTTGGGTGCGTCTGAAAAGATGAGTCAAGAAATTTGCTGTTAATCGGATTCCAGCAGTGTATAGAAATTGATTTATGCGGTGCACAGAGAATCCCCTGATTTGTACAAAAACTAGATACGTTGTAAATTATCTACTACAATTGTTTATCTATGGCAGGTGTTGCTTTAGGAAAGAGCCCTTTTGAAATTATCGTTAGCTCATTAAAGTTTGCTAGTAGTAGGTAGCAAACACAATATTATTTTAAAGAGGGTTTGATACCCACACGGGACAACTATTTGTGTGACCCACAGATAGTTGTTTCGCATCTGGGTGTTTATCCGCGTGAAATTTATGTTTGTAAAACGTCCTTACAACACAGGGTAATGTTATCAGTAAGGGCAACGTTTTCCAAAAAGAATTAAAAGAAAGTGTTTTATTGTCATTTACGTTATATATTATACACAAACTAGCGACCCACCCCGGCTTCGCACGGGTGCCATGTATTATACATATAAACCTTTCTCTTGAATCACCCCATCTAGAAAAAGAAACCGCATCAAGATCCGTTGGGTAGTTTTAAAGATCTAAGCATACATAGGGACAGACAGACAGCGGACTTTGTTTTATAATATGTAGTGAAGCTAAGCTTCTACTAACCATGGAAACCATACGAATTCTCAATCGCCGATGCCTTCTAAATTATCTTTATTGTTCTGTCCGACAGCAGCTAGGTTAAGGACTCTTTATACATAGATATAGCGTGTGGAAAATAAACAGTTCCTGTGCGACTTATTTGCAACCCAAATGTTAGCATTTAACCCAAGTCTATTAATCAATAAAATTAAATTCCAAGAATATAAAGTCGTGCCAACAAGCAGTACGAAAATATTGCAAAAACATAAGGCGTAGGTTTTTTTATCATTCGTGCGGTTTCAAAGAGTGTGTGTCTATATGCAAGCGAAGGGACGCTACAGATAACCGCATTTGGATATTTCCGTTTGGATATGGGTCTATCAATCTGATAATATCACGATGAATCACTGCTTTCATTTTCGAAACTATACGCATTGTGGTTTCATAATTGACTTTTCAAGTTCAAAACACAAAAAAATTTACCTACAACTTTCTAGTGTTGTGAAAGTAACAATTGAAGGAAGTAATCTAATTTACAGACCGTTACATATTACTAAAAAGTTATATCGCAAAAAGTGCTTATACAGCCTTTGCGTGGTGTTTTCGAAAAGCTTTGTAGGGATATCTTTTTAGAATCTAATCTAAAAAAAATGTTTGTGAGATGTTGAAGGATGACGTACAAGAGAAAAAAATTATGCAAAACCGTCAATGTGACCACATCCTTGAACCCTAATTGGGCCTGGGACTCATATCGCAGCCCACAAGCAAAACAATAATTTTGTACGTAAAATAAACAAAAGACTGTGACTATCACTCCATTGGAACTCAAACCGCAACTTAATGACCGCAAGTACAACGACCCAGGGATAGTTTTAAATTTGATTTTTTTATTGGTTTTGTTTTTACTATACAACGTATTACTATGATGAATATTTTTTTGTATGCGTCGTCCTTCTCGGTAAATAAATATATTTTATTTCTTTGTTCTTTCACCAAATCATAAACGACTTAAGTTAAACATCAACTTACCGGAATATAGGTTTCCTAATCTGTCTAGCCGCGATTTTATGTTGTGCCTTAATGCAGGTCTCTCGGTTTTAGCGTCGGCCTGGTCACTTGATTCCTTCTCCAGGATTGCCTTGGAGTTGTCATCTGAAGAATTGAACAACGCCAATATGAAATGTTATTAAGGAAATAATCAAGACGCCCTTGGTGAAAGAATCTGAATTGTGGTCATCCACACTAGTAACATTATAGAGAAATCAATGTCACACTTCTTTTTAATTACCCGACTGCGCCAGAAGGAGGGTTATGTTTTTCGAGAGTATGTATGTATGTATTTATAATTGTTTGGCACGCTCTGGAGCCTGAACAGCTTGATGGATTTTAGCTTTAGAGATGTCGTTAGATTCGTATTTAGTGTGAGTGTCATTGGGTATATCAAAATTAAAAAATAAACAGAAACACAATCGGGTTTTGTAGTTTTTTAAATTATATTCTACTGTTACTAAATGACGTTTAGTGATTACTGCTCCTGGAAGTCCACAACATTGCTAAACTTTTTTAAAGTTTGGTCCCCGTTACTGCACTAACTAGATCAAAGCAAAAGTATAAATAGTTCTACCTTATGCTGTTCTTCCGTAATCTTATGGTAACATACCTAGGTGAGCTGATACATAAAGGCTCTATCACATCCAATGAAAAAAAAAATTGTGTACCTGACCCACTAATGTTTTAAGATGATTGTTTGGATTCTGATTAATTAATATTCATTATATGAAGTAACTGTATAAATCTGTTTTTAAATGGGCAGGCCCGTCCGGGTAAGTACCACAACCTCACAGAAGACCAGTGTAAAGTAGAAGTATGACAAATACTTTCGCATTTCGTCTGGTGAGTGAGGTAGCCGGAAGCCAATTTTCAAAAGGTTGTCAACACATCTGTAACCTTTGGGTGTGACAGATGTCCATGGGCCAAACCGTCTCCTCGTTTGACAATTTTAGCATAAAAAAATCTTGCAATAGTAGTTACTTTTAAACAACTTATAAACTATTAAATATAGATCAATTGAGGTACATAAAATAATCATTAATAAGAAAAACTAAAATAATAAATTCCTTTACCTGTAGGAACTGTCATTAAAAAGATAAAACTAATAAAAACTAAAAACACTTTAAATCACAAAACAACTGTGTCAACTCAATCACAGTAACTAAAGCTATACTAAAATGGCAGATCTATTAAATTTGTTTTTAGGTAACTAATAATTTAACCACTTTACTAAATATGTTTACAAAAGCAAGTAAACAAACATTGCTAATGTTTCTTAGTAAGATGCAGAATTTAAATGAGATGAGTAATGTGTAGATTTGTTTACAGGAAAACACCTTATTCAATTGCAAAACTATTAGGATAATATTCTTTAATGATCAATTTAGGAGTAAAATTTTCTATAAGAAATGAATTTGTGACATTAACAAAATGAAATTAGCAGTACTAAAGTAATTTGTAAAACACACACGTTTCCAGGCAATCTTAAAGTTCAACTTTGATATGACTTAAAAGAAAACTGATGTTTCTTCAGGAAGCTTATTAGGTGATTAATAACCGAAAAATAGAAGGTGGTTTTCTCTAATTCCCAATGCTTACAAATTTTAAATATCAGTATGGTAAATTATTTAATGTATGTAAGGTCCTCCATAAAAAAATGAAGAAAAAACACATCAGAACATTATGTTCTGTTTTTTTTTTATCAATCCTTCAAGGAAAATAAAGGAAGTTTATACCATGCTAGAAAAAATTGAATTTCATAATAATAAGCGAAAATAAGGTTTCCTTACCTTCAATTTCTTTAATTACAACATTATTGCTCTTTTCCAAGCTGGGGTCATAGACTATGCTAATAGGTATCTCCCTCTCTTCAACTTGAACTTCAATTTGAATATCATTTCTGTGTGAAATATTAATCTCAACAGATACGTCAGAGTTGCGTCTATTTAAACTCCCCCTGTTAGAGCTTTTGAACTCCTTTTTCGTCACAACTACATCACTGTTTTTCTTGGGAGACGCGATGACTACATCCGATTGGTGCGTGCTTTTCCTTTGCATATCAGTCTTTAAAGATTCTCTTGATGGTTTTTTCGGTGAAAGCATTGAATCTTTTGTTACTTTAGCAGGCGATTTGATAGGGGATGATTGCGGTTTAACGATACCAACGTTTTCGGCTAAAGGTTTCCTTTTAGGGACCGTCTGTCCAGAATTTACCAACTTTTGATCAATTTTCTCTTGCCTCGCACGCGCCCTTTCTAACATACGCTGCAAAACGAATTTACGAATACCGTAATAAGCAAAAACTACTTGGAATTTGGAGCCGTTATTCAAAATAAATAAGTATTTACCTGAGTGAAAGGATCCATATTTACAAGTTCAAATATCACTGTACACTTTAATGTTAAACCATTAAAACATAGCTTTAATTAACCGTTACCGTCACTCAATTAATCAAATTGTATAGTTTGAGTAAAATTTACTCATAAATTGTTTACCTCCCACAAGCCAACGGTTTAACGTTTGACATTCACAACAAACCGAAATTTTTAAATTGTATCAAATCATGGACAAGCTTTCTGACAGAGGGCACCACTAATGCACATCGAAACTAATTGTCTATAGTCATTATAAAGTTGTTTGTTTTCTTTAAAGTTTATGAAGCTAATTTTACATTATAAAATTATTAAACAAAATACAAACACATTTACAAAATTGATTTAAGTATTATTATACTCCGATAACACATTATCGTGTAATGAAAATAACAAAAAAATACCGATTTATTTCAACAGATGGCAACGTTATAAATATGACACGGAGGAATTTATAGGAGCTTACTCAAAGAGTAGTTACATCTAATATATAAAGTTCTCGTGTCACGGTGTTTGTAATTGAACTGCTCCGAACGGCTCGACCGATTTTCGTGAAATTTGTGTGAAAAGAAAAAATGTGTACATATCGGCCAGGGTAGAGAATCGGACAACATATATTTTTCATCCCCCTAAATGTTAAGGGTGGTCCACCCCAAATATTTTTTTGTACCCTACAAATTCCTTAGAAATAATTTATAGGCCAAGACAACGTTTGCTGGGTTAACTAGTATTTTTATATATTGTTATATACCTGAGAATGAGCTTTCTTATAACTACCGGTACCGCCACTGACGCCATATGATTAGCTCCGCAATAATTTCTTCTTTTCTAATTATTGGATTTTAATTTTCACATACTGTTATTTTTTTATGTCAGAAGGTAGCAAACGTGTTAAGTGACAAACGAGTTAAGTGATAACCACCGCCCATGGACATTTGCAACGCCCGTACCGTTGCAGTTGTGCATGCGTCGATTTCTGCGAATATTAAAGAAAATGAATTGTTACAATTAAATCTAATTGTTACAATATAAAAAAAATTGTTATAAATAAAATACATTTAAATCTTCACTTTCTTTAAATTTTATTAAATTATATAAAATCTTGATGCGAGATTCTCGTGTATGGTATACTTGTGTACTATAGAGAAATTTACCTGTGCTTCTATATACTTTGTACATCGTTTTGTACATAATATGAAAATCTCGCGCGATTGGTGTAGACGCAACAGACCAGGTCCGCCTCTGGGGGCTGGGAGACTTGCTGCTCATTAGTACTGGCTTCCATGGCCTCTGGTCGGTAAACTCGGGGAAGTTCATTGGCCGTGAAAAAGGGGCTGAGTAGCGCGCTGAATTTCCAAGGTGCCTTACCTGGAGGAGAAAAGAGTTACTCCCCAAGAAGGAGTTACTGAGGCGGCCAACACTGGCAGGAATTGTGTAAAAGCGTTCCCGTAGCTCTTCCTATATGCATCTAGGTAAAACATCGTGGGGATTTTAGTCGGTACGAGTCCGACATAACCCGTCCTTGCGGTATGCGTAGGCATTTCCTCCACGTTAACAAAAAAGGCATTTAGAGTAGGTAGAGTAGGCTTATTTAGCCCACTGTAGATGATAGAGATATGAGGTTGAATATCACTCTAGGAGATGCGAAGGACACGTTGAAAGTGAGACAATATTCTCGTTCTCTGCAACTGAAGGAAAGTCGCGTGGGAAAAGAAGTGTTCGTGTTAGTGAACGCAACAGCGTTTAGCCACTCTCCCTATCCTTCACGATTTAACGGGTCTGCACCTATGATGACACACGGAGAGAGTAGTGTCGATATTGCGATGCACCGTTCTCCCTACCAACCGACAGAAACTTAGTGATCGGCGGATCCATTGAGTAGTTTCGCGGGGCCGAGGCTTGCTACTTGTTAATACTGGCTCTATGCTATGGGAGTTATCTAGAGAGCTATCTAGGCCTATGGGTCCTATGGCCAGCGGAAACCGAAAACTCTGTTCTCGTACCAAAAAGGAAGTCTTATTAAGCTTACGTTACAGAGAACCTTGCCTGATGGAGTGGTGGATGTTTCCCCGAGGAATGCCTTTTGAGGCAGCCAGCGCTGATAGATTTGTGAAAGTTTGTAAAAGCTGTTCATATTCAACCAGGATGGAACATCGTAGGGATTTTAGTATGTGCGATTGTGCCATAACCCTTCATTGTCGGGTATTCTTAGGCATTTACCCCGCATTAATAGAAAATCGTAAGAAACAAATGGTAACTTATTACTTATTATATAAGATGACGCTCACCCGATAAAAATGTAATATGTAAAATTAAATATTCGGGTACTGTGTGCAGGTGTGCACTTTGTATAAATTGGCCATGTCGGGAAAGCACTACGCGCCACAAAATACCAGGGTAAACTAGATACATTTATACTTTTATATTTCTTCTGGCGAGTGATGTGACCTAGATCCATGTTATTATAATTTGGCGATGTAATGCGTAGAATCAAGGTGATGTTAATGTCTACGATTGACGGTAATAACTGGTTAATTCCAAGTACACCTTTCAACAGTCGTTATAATTTTTATCTTTTTTTTCTAGATTGATCCATCGAAATCCAGTGCATAGTAAAGGCTTATTCATTTGTTACACGGAATACCAAAGCCAAAAAAATACTAACGGTATATGAAAATTACTTTATCCATTAAGTAATTACCTATTAAAATATTCGTATGCATATTTTTCTCAGAAATGATTAAAGCGTAAATAAGGTACAGTTTAGTATTCGTAGTGATTTTCCTTATGTGCAGTTTATTTGTCATCAATTCACGTGCTCTAGGGATAGAACTGTGCCAAGATACACTATAGTTGTGGACAGGGAATTAACCCCTTATCTTTATCTATACAGATTAATAAAATTGGAGTATCTGTTTGTAATATTCAAATAACCGCTTTTTTACTAAATGCATGTGAAAAAGTGAATGTGAATGTAATACACATTACTTATACCAAAATATTTTTTTACAATTTTTGTCTGTCTGTGTGTCTGTTTCGTACTCGTACGCAAATTCATGTGTTACATTCACAGGCTAGATGTTTTTTCTTGAAGACTATGAAAGTAAAACGATATAAGGCGTCCAGAAATATGTCCAAAAAAGCTTTTTTTAATAAAAAAAAATGTTAACATATATTAAACGAATTTACAGAATCAAGGAACATTCACAATTTAGAATCGAACCTGTTGTTATAGAAGATAAACACCTCCTGCATTTGTTATAATGTATAATCGCAAAGTAAAAATTGTTTTATTTCTAATTCAGAATCATTGTAGCCTCAACTGGGAATATTAATACCTATTTGAAAACACAGCTCGTATAAACACAACGCGTACACAAGGTACACCCGCGTTCCAGGGCGGTTCTCACCGCTCCCAGCCACCGAATAGCTAAAAACACAGTCGACGGCCATCGGAATCCCAGTTCGAACCGCAACCTCGATGGCCCTTAGATGACATACCATAATTAAACGCACGCATGAGCACATGCGCGGCCCTACCCACAGCGAAGGGCCCAAACCCGTGGGTTCTGGCTAGCCCACCGGTTCTGCGTCAGATGAAGCTTTAATAGTCTCGGGACTGAAAGCAAAAACATCAGTTAATACAAGATACAAGACCAATTTGAAAAAGTTTAAAACTCTTATTAGAGAAACATGAAAATTTTGAAAAGTGCAAAACTCTTATTAGAGAGACATGAATCTACCTGGCACTAAGCAGATGTTTCGTAAACACAAAACTATATGGTATACCACACATACACCAAGTTGATGAGCACGTCACGTCTGGTTTTGCTTTCGGATTCGGACGAACGATACCAGTTACCAGTCTTGTAACGACGCTTTAGCTGCGTGCAAGTGGTCAGCCGAACAATACAATGGGTACGTAATTATTTATTTATTTTTCATTGAGAGGGCAATTTACTTTTTCATATCATTTATTGGAAAGCGCAACAGTATCTTTTAGTTATATTTAAGTTATAACGTATTTCAGAATTGATCTTTATTCAATATTTTGTATTTTGTGTTATGTTTTTAGACATAACAATATATTTTGGTATACGTAAGCTATATTATGCATAAGTAAACTTGCGTATTTATAAAATATTTTTATTTTTACATTGTTTACCCCCTCTTTATATGAAACTTATAAAGGTATAAATTTAGTGATAACTTAAATATGTAAAAGATTATAATAAAGAATATGAAATTTTTTATTGAAATCTCACCGGAAAGAAATATGAGGGATTGTGTCCATACAATAGTAATTTTTGTAGAGGTTCTTCGTTTTAAACTCTAGTTAATGTGCTTATTATGAACTACATACGTCTCTCTGTGACATCGCCGGATATGTCCGTTTGCGTTAACTTCGAATTTATTAAGTCCACTAAGTACTTGAGAACATTTTATCTGGGCACTAATACTAAAAGAGTTGTTTAAGGTGTTACGCCAACGAAACTCGAGTTGACGAATTTTTTAACAGTTTCACCAAGTTTATAATTTGATATAACATCCAAGTATAACAACACCTCCTTATTCTCTGTTTATTTGTCGGTTGACTGGTAGAGAACACCTAATGGTATGTAGTCCGCCATTGTACGGAATTGTGCATAAAGTTTTTAAATAAATAAAACAGAAGCATAAACAACAAAATACATACAGTCGAACATAGAACCTCCTCCTTTTTTGAAATCGGTTAAAAAGGAACGAATGTATTCATGTCAATGTTACCAACACTGTTTTAATTTTCCAAATAATTATAAGTATTAATAGAATTTCCCTCTAAAGCAAATGCCCGCTAGTTACTTAATACTTTATTATCCAATTACTTGGGGCTATATATGATAATGTTTCACGTAATTAATTCGATTAACAATATTTCCTTGACCGGCGCCTAAGTAAAATAAATGTAAGAAAAATCATAATTATAAGCAAGAGATTACAAAACTAACCTGAAACCATTAATAAGTTAAAGTCAGATGTATCTAAGTATTGAAAGTATGCTACAAGAACAAATTGAATAAAATATGAAACAATAATAGAGTACCCTATATTTAAAACAAGACAAAGGATATGATTATAAATCACAAGGAGATACTTTGACCGGCGATAAACGCGTCATCGGGTACTTATTTGTCGCATAGTTTACATGTCAATCGACTTATAGGTAAATAAGCAATAAACAAAGGATTATTATTTTTAATAATGTATTATGTATGCATACCTCTCCTTTTGCTGATACTATCATATTGCTTTTCTGAACAGACGTTTCTGAACAGGTTCATAGCAAGATCTAATGAAAATTGGATTGCGTAAAGATAATTTCTACTATGCTATACGGTCTGTTCATTTCTGAATATACATATTACAAACACATAAGGAGTACACATTAACTCGGTTTGTTTTTAGGGTTCCGAACCTTAGAAGGAAAAAAGGAATCCTTATAAAATCACTCTCTTGTCCCTCTGTCTGTCCGTATATTGCCACCGATTTTCTCAGGGACGGGTGGACATAGCAACTTGATTACAATACCAGATACTGATATATCGTACTTATTAGGTGAAATCAAGGGCAAATTTACATTTTCGAAGAAAAGAAACTTGTAAGTGCCAGAATTCACCTTAATTTTCAACTTTTTTTATTTAAGAAATTTTCCCTTTTCTAGTGCTGTAAGCTTTCTTTTAACCAAAATTAATAATTCTAGGTCAACCGATAGTACCTTATAGGTTTAGGGTCGATAACCTATATGGTAGTTCCCGTTGACCTAGAATCATGAAATTTGACAAAAAGCAGTATTACAGCACAATTAAAGAAAAGAAGAAAGAAGTTTGTAACTTACATAAGGACAACACTAACAGACCGAAAAAAGTTTACTGACATGATAGTTTTTAAATCTTCTTCCCGTTATAATTTTAAAATGCTGCTGCTTGCTCCAAATGGTGATGTTTTGAGACCATTTTGTAGAAAGAGAATACTTTTGTACACGATTATTCACATATAATATGTGGAATGATAGCGAAATATTTTTACTGAAGGTTATTTATTTAAGGTCGTAACTCCAAGTTGTATGTTGTACTGTACTGTTATGTGTTGCGTGTAACCATTAACTTACGATGCTTGATTAATTTTCTGCAATCTATTAAGCTACGCTAGGACAGGCTAAGTCATGATAAATACGCTTTTATTAATATATATTTTATGTTGATTACAAACGCGCAATAGCGTTAATGTTTATATTCTTATGCAAACGCCCTTTTTCTCTGTTTTGTAAAATACTGATATTTTTTCTGTAACACCAACTAGTAATTTCAACTTTTAAAATGATATTTTACATAGATCGTAACTAAACAACTTATAATTTTAAAATAAAAAGCGGACATGTCTGTTTAAATATTTGCAACATTGGGGACATACGGTTATTGATCTTATTATAAAAACACTCGTTTTTGAACAAAAAACTGAACTGCTTTTTTACGAAAACAAACTAGTGATTTCAACTTATATTTTTTAAAAATTACTTTAAAAAATTATTTAAAATAAAATGTGATTTGAACTTATCTGTTTAATATTTGCAACATTGTGGACATAGAAGTTTTATTGAATATGTATCTAAATTATTTATTTACTTTATAATTTAATTTCAATGAACTGATAAGTACAGCTGATTCTTAGAACTGTGACACTACAATGTTCCGAATAAACGACAATTTCCGTTTTGAATAGGATAAGTAACTTTTAAATCGGCGAGAATGTTTGAAGGTCAGAATAATGAAACAGCATGATAAAGGTCGCATGGGAGGAAGATCTTTTGATCGTTTAATTCTTAATTTTTTTTCTGTGTTTCTGGCATTTTGTTATCGTTTATGTCAGTGACTTCTTAAATTTTAAACGTGCCCCACTAATTTTTGGGTTGTCTATGGTTGAATTTTTTATGCGTTTATTAGAAGATGCGTTTATTACTTTATTAGAAGGTAGCAAACCAGCCAGTCACGTACATGTTCGCTTGATGTGTTTCTTTTACGTGAGAAAGTGACACACGAGCTGGTGGTTCACCTAATGTTAAGTGATAACCGGCGCCCATGGACATTTGCAACACCCGTAGGGTTGCAGATGCGATGCCACCTTGTAAGAAATGGGCCCTGGCTACCTCACTCACCAGAGGGAACGCAAAAGTGTTTGTAACACTTCTATTTCACGCCAGTCTTCTGTGAGGTCATGTTACTTACCCAGACGGGCCTGCCCGTTCGTGCAACAGCCGAGGCTGCTGCGAGGCCCTACCAACGTAAACTTTATAATAAAATGTTTTATTATACATACATTTGAAGGGTATCGCGTTCGCGAGGGCAATGGCCCTCTGCCATACTCTCGCTATTCTCTTCTTCATCTTAAGAAGGAATTTACACACTTTACATAGTCCTTAAGACGGAAAGCGAAAATATTACCCAACAAAGGCACAGACTATTGTGAAATAATATTTTTAATTATTAACCTTGTGATGTTTCAAGGAGATTATAGACTGAATATTAGATTGTATTAGAATTTCACATAGACATCCAGGAAGAGCATTAGCAAGAGAAAGAAATAGACTATTTTTACGGATTTACTAAAAATTATATATTTTAAGCAATGATGTTTTAATAAAGATGACGCATGTATTTTGTAAAAATTGTTCCCCTTTACATTATATGACATATATAAGTGAATGTGACAAATGATATAGAAAATGTGATTGACATAATACGTATCATTGTATTGTTCATCAGTGATACAGAAAGAGATATCATTAGAGTTGCAATCTAATTACATTACCTAATTGGCGTAATTTGTGCGCCTCAGTTTCGGAACGCTAGTTCATATCTACCTCATATTTGTATATAATATCGTTGGTTACAAGTACTGACTACATATAAATGGTCACCATAAATTCCGAAGAGTTCATAACAAATGACGATGAATTAAAATGCAATCAAACGCCTCGAAATCCGTAGTAATAATAATAGTTTACATTGTGCGGTATTCTTGTAATACAGGAAATCATCGTAAGAGTTGAGAAATCGCAACGATTTCTCTTTCCTAATAACGAACGATAAACAGTTCTTCGTTTCAAAAATCCTTACAATAATTGAAACTGGAAAGGAAAGGACGCAAGTAGAATGCAAAACACACTCTGGTATACAAATTAATGCGTACAAGTCAAGGGCGAATCACAACTGAGTGAGTTTTGCTCGGAACGTCGATGCTTATCGTGTATGCACAATTAATGCATTATTTTAAACACGACGCAATTTACAGAATGTAGGAAGGAAGACTCTTTTAACTTGGAAAGGTGAATAAAAAGAATCTCGTGCCCACCAGCAACTTGAATGATACACAAGTATAAGTTAGTTCATAAAAAAATTGACTTCCCGCACATTTGCACAGGTCGTCACTCCATCTATTATCAGTAGAGACGATTATTTTTTAGGTTGTGTGTTAGCTTATTACAACATTAGGCATTTAGGTTAAGAAATTTAATAACCTACCGGTTAAACCATTTTCCGTTTTTAATTTCCAGGTTCATTAACGCTAATACTGTCTGTTTGCGTTGTCTTCGTGGCAGTCTACAGGGCAGACGCTGGTAAGTGACAAGTTACGATAGTCATTATGATAATTTTCGTCAAGTTTATTGTATTATAGACATGCACATGCACAGTAGTAATGATCATCATTTAAACATTTATCAATAAAAGTTTTATTGTGTGTAAGCTCATGCATAGTAGTTCAAGACATTGATGTATAGATTCATTATTTTATTTTCTACAAGGCACAAGAATTTCTCTGAGACGAAAATCGTTGTTTCAGCTATTTTTAGTAACTTTTACCTATTTAAATTTGTATCCATATAACTAGGGAACGAGCTTGTATACTTCTTCACGTCAAGTTTTACGATCTAAGAAATGAGGCAGTCAAGTTTTATTTCCATCCATGTCTGATAATATGGAAACAGTTTGCAAACAAATGTCTTAACTATTTTTTACAAATATAAACCATGTTTTTATCCCAAAATACTCTAATCTAATCTAATCTAATCTAAATACTTGTTCATTCGGAACCTAAATCAACAAAGATATAGAAATAAAACCGCATTACAAGATAATTTTTTATGTGTGGCTTAACGATTTCGTTCACAGTGTTTTGATGGGATTTATACCCCTCGAATCATCCTATTTATTAAAAAAGGAAAAATCCTATTTATTAGTAATATAAAAAAAACAACAGTGCCATCTAGTATTTGGAAATAGAAACTAAACATCACAGAGCATTGACGATTCCGTTTATTTCCATTCACAGCGAGCACAGGCTGCCCACTGGCATCCAAGACTTACAGCTGCAGCCCCAAGTGCCAGCAGAACTATGATTGCAGCCACGGCAAGATCTGCTGCCCCAACTCCTGCAACGCCAAGTCCTGCATAGATGCCGCTGCGTTTGGCAATTCTGGCGGAAACGACAAATACTCTCAGTGTAAGAAAAATACCTTAATAAAAATAAAACTATGAGCTAGTTACGACTACAATGCATCATGGAAATTGGATGAAGAAAATTATGCTTGGGAGACGAATGAAGTTAATAAATATATACTAGGTGGAACTTAAAACGACTGGCTACGAAATTGTGAGTGTAAAATGTGAAAACAGTATTTAGAGAAAATTGAAAAAAGAAATTTTTAAGAGATTTGATCCCGTGGAGGGATTATTTAAAAAGACTAATAAAACGAATGTATGAAGCCTAAGTGGATTAAAATGTTGGCGTTGTAAAAAATCCTAAAATTGTTTGTCTTACGAGCCATTCTAGATATTTTTCGGTTTTTGTTAAACCCATTCCCTGCCTACCTAGCTTATACTGAACTCTTTAAAATTTAATAACTTTGAATGTATTTTTGAACTGTTTAAGCGTAATTAGTTTGAAAAGGATAGATGTTAAATTAGGTAAGATGTTATACTGAGGTTATACTGTGGTATGAAACACAAACTCGATGTTTAAATTGATAAATAACCACGCGACAGCTTCGGCTGCTGCAAAAGTGTAAATAAAATAGAAGTGATTTATACTTTTCCATTTCGTCTCGTAAATGATATTACCGTGGCTCACCCTCTGAAAGCAATCCCACAGTAGTTACAGTTATTAATGGACGGCGGTAATGATTTAACATCAGGAGAACTGCCTGTCACCGTTTCCCAAATAAAAAGAAATAATTTAACTCAAATCAGAACCAAAATAAAATGTAATACGTATTATACACAATAACTGCTTTCAGTGAGATTTATGATTATCTTTAGGGTTTCATGCCCAAAGGGTAAAACGGGACCTTTTTACTCAGACTACGCTGTCTGTCTGCCCGTATGTTACCAGGCTGTATCTCATGAACCGTGATAGTTAGAACTGCCCCCATCGGATCATAACCACCAATTCTCATATAGTTATTGCACTCAACTCCACGTACATGTCTCTGCTAAGGTAGGGTCTATCAAGCTCATGGTTACTTAGCGTTTCTACGAGTCTTGTATTTTCTTTTCCCAAATAGCAATCGACGGAATTATTACGATTTTACAAATCGATAGTAACAAGCGATTACGTCAAAACCACTAACATCAGATTTGATTGATCAAATACTTTAAAAATATAGTATATTCAATATTTAATCAAACATTATAAGCAGAAGATGTTCATAATGGCCATGTTTATCTCCATTTCGTTAGAAAGCGACACGACTAGTGAGTCGCGTTCTCGTTCAAATTACACGACATACATCTGATGTTTTTGTTCATGACCCTGACATTTTTTGTTAACTCTGGCCTGTGATCTTGACACAGATATGCCAATGTCCTAGTTGAAATAAATATTTTAATGTCGGATTCAATAAATTAATAAATCTAAAAGAATTTGAAATGTTGACAGTACTAATTATTAATATTTATACAAAACGGAAGAAACAAAACTATGATAGAGAAATAATTGATACCAGTTCAATGAATAAGAGTGATTCATCAATTTCGTACTACTTTTATGCGTTTAAATTATGTTGGCCATTATTTGCAGAAACTGAAGAGTCAGTGACAATCAAGAAACTTGAATTTTTCACAGACGTTTAAAAATACACCAATAAAACTGAAATTTATCTCACTTTTGTAGTGGTTCACACCCTATTTATGTATTATGTCGACTCTGACTCTGTATTGTGTATTGTGTATCCTCCGTATCGGAAAAAACATCTTTAGTTCGGAAGATACTAGGATATTTTTATTATAGTTTGCCGCGCGACCGCCCTGCATTTGCAGACTTGAATTTTTTCCCATTTATTTTTGCTGTAAATCGAGAATTAGTAATTTAGATAATTTAATTCAGGTTGTACCGAATCAAAAGCGAGCGCCCAGACATTGAGATTCCACTGCTGCGTGATTTAATAAAATGTTGAGTGGGATGATTGGCTTCGGTAAAGGCTAATTATTTAATGATTGGATGATAATTTCAAATATATTGTTAAAGCTACCTTAATGGAAAGGTCCTTTTATAATGTCGAGGAATACATTGTGGATAAGGATGTGTGGAAATGACTCTTTCTTCTGCACTTGCAATTCCCCCGGCTCCTGCTAATTTTATACTTAATTACTTTTGTGTATATAGTTAAATAATTCAAAGAAAAAAAATTATAAAACCGCAGAGTTTCTTGCCGTCTAGTCTTCTCTGGTTTAGTGTACCGGTGGTAGTTTTGGACGTTCAATAAGAGCTTAAAATAAGCATTATTATTTTGAATAAAGAAATTATAACTTTGAATTTGACATATTACATCGATTTTTTTTACAGCTGGCGGTCCCGGGGTATATTGCAACAACGTGAAATGCAACGCCTTCGAGGTATGCAAGATGGATCCCATCACCAAGAGGATGAAATGCATGCGTGCTTGAATCTGTATTTTAATTAAACAACGATATTATATACACTATTCGCAAAAAAAATAAGGAAAACAGTCGACCTATTTTTGTTTTTAATATCAACACATCCGTTGACTGTGACCTGTACTGAATACAAGATAATTTATTAACAAAAAAATATTTATTACTTTTAAAATATATGTCCTTAAGGAATCAAACTTCTTTACTTTTTCTTTCTAACGAACCTGTACTATCTATGCCTACATATAATATAAAACTGAATACGAAAATTCATTTCTTCTATAAGAGAAATGAAATGTCAGGCCCACATTTATGGAAAATTCTTCAGTTTGGGTACTTCTAGATATAATAGAAATACTTATATCAAAACTTAATCTATTTTATTTTATGTTAGTGAGGAACTGACTTTGCTCGAAAACCACTTGCAAGAACAATGAAATTATTGTACACTGTTAAAATATCTCATTCATGGAAATTATAACTGTGTAAGAGGTAGGAGCAAGCAGCAGTCTTTGCTGTTGCGTAAATGGGCAGGTCTGAGGTGTGTCCGGGGAATTACCACGGCCTCACAGAAGACCGGCGTGAAATGGAAGTGTTATACTTCTGCGTTTCGTGTGGTGAGTGAGGGCCTGGGGTCCACTTTATTTGGTGGCAACGCATTTGTAACCTTAATGGTGTTGAAAATTTCCATGGGAGTCAGTTGTCACTTAACATCAGGGGAACCGCCAGCTTTGCTAGCCATCTTCTTACATTAAAAAAATTGCTAGATGGAGATTTTGGCGAGAAATAAATATTCATATTTTACTTTACACAAGGCTACGAACTGTTTCACTCCACCGTGTTACGCACAAAATATCGATTTTTAAAAATCGGTATCGAAAACGTCCGCCAGTAATTATTGACCACGTTTTAAATCATAATTGTGCTAATTTATTACGTATATTACGTTAAAACTCAATTATATAAGCAACAATAGCAAACGAAACTATTTTAATGAAGTTAAAAATACGCAAAAATTAAAATCATAGGAACGCACTATAATTAGACACGATTAAAAATAGATGTATTTCACCTTTCCGCCAAGGACGTAGGCTGAACTTATTACGGTAAGTCAAAATTAGAGTCGAGCCAAAAATAGCTCTCTTCGCATAAATCTCGATTGGCATTTACGCAAGTGGCCTTTCATCCAACCGCTTGAACTTTAAAGCCGATCACAGACAAGATATTAACGAGTAGTCCACAACGCAACGACAGTTTTTATACTATTATATTTTATTATTTTATTCTAACTTGCATACATACATAATTGTTACGATTACTCAGTTGGTATCTTATTCCGAAAAAAAATCTTTTACTTCGCCACTCAAGCGCCTTCTTTAGACCTTCTTTAGCCCTCCTCTTCTCGGGTGCCACAACACCCCTCACAAGCCCCAACTTGAGCGGCAGACATAAATCCGCAACCTCTAAAAACTGCTGTCAGAAATCGGGTTGGAGAAGGGGCCAGTACCCGCAATGCGGGTGCACAGCAGCAACAGGTAGAAGCGGGTGCTAGTGGGTTAACAAAGTCCGCTGTCAGTGGACTGGACGTATTTCTGACACCGTCACACCATACAAGACATACAAGAGGAACAGGAGCTCCTGTTCCTCGTGTATGTCTGTTCTGTTCCTCCTAGCAGCTGCTAGGAGGAACAGCTGCGCGCTTTTCATGAGGAACAAGCACGTAGACTGGAGGAAGAAGCGTATAACGAGGTGATACAATTATAATAAAAATTAAATAAATAACATATTATCAGCAAACCTAAACAACGCGGTATGGTTTCAAGAACGCTAGCTGCATTTCCTCGCTGTATTGGAACGAGAAAAGAAAGACACTTTGCCCAATTTATTAAAACCGTAGTAGTTTAATAAAACCCGTAGGGTTGCAGTTGCGTTGCCACCTTAAAAAAAATACACTCGTAAGAAGTGAAACTTTTTTATGACGTTATTTTTCAAAAAATAATTTACTATATGCAACTTTACAGAAATTGGTTAAATAAAGTTAAATTAGATAAACTTTAATAAAAGGCTCGTGAACCTTTCAATTAACCTCACGGACCCAAAATACAACCGCTTTGAATTTGTACATGGTCCTTCGTTGCCGAATAGTCAGCCAGTGCCTTTGGAGAAGAGGAAGTCGACACAGTGTCGTGTTCTGAAGTATTAGAGCTAGCACTGTCATTACTACAAATATTATTATTGAATTTCATTAATTGTAATAGAATTATTACTATCATTGATGTCGTTATTATATATTTTTGTTATTAATGGCTTATGGTAACTGAAATACGAAATATATTGTTTACATTTTAGAATTAGAATTAAAATAAACCCTTTGATTTTGCTGATCACTTTAATATAACATATATATATATATATATATTGTTATGAACACATGAAGGAACTAACGCCATCTAGCGTCAACTATTAAAACCACTAAAGAATAAAGACGACATAAAACCCCCTGTTCAGCACTAGATGGCGTTAGAGGAACATTTTAAGATAAGAAAAAGATGGCGCGTAACGCAAAAATGTTACACTAAATTTTTTTCCAACCCCGATAAAGAAGTTTCACTTCAAAAAGGCCTCTTTTCACCAGTCGCAGCAATAAGTCTAGGACAAGGGTTCAGAAATTTCAATTGGCGATGACCCCGCGGATTTAACGTGTCAACAGTTAACGGCAGAAATTCATAATTTGATCAAAGAGGCTCAAATTTGCGCCATATATACGCGCCTTCTACTACAACTAAAGTACCTCTTACATGAGCTTTGCCTCTCCCAAGGTATCAAAGTTAAGTCTTTGGTTCCCTTATCATGTTAACGAAAAATGCCCCGGGAAAATGCGAAATAATATCGACTATCGAATAAATCTAAGAAACAAAAACGCCTTTAAGATTTTTCTTGATAAAGCTGTAGCAATTCACTATGCGTTCTGAGAACGTTCGCAGAGTGCGTTTAGCTATATTATGTGCATCGCATTGAACACGCAATACTGTGGCACCAGCCTAATGCGGTCGTCAATGAGTCCCACGCCGTGTAGTCAATACTCCTTGAACGGCACAGTGACTCCTTAGGCAGCCGAGGCGGGCGGCCGGCTGAGCTTTGTGAAAATTTTGATTTTGAAATTCGAATCATCGTTTCTTTTTTTTTAATGATTGTGATACATAGATATTAGTAAACAATCTATTTTGAATTATGTGATAGATACGAAAGGTATAATCCGTGATCATTTACTACTTAATATAAATTACATATTCTATAATAATATAATTCTATTCTAGTTAGAAATCTTGGCTTTAATATTGAGATACCGATAATGTTTAATATTTTATGGTTATATTTTTGATATTAATGCATAATGATTTTCATCTGTAAATCGACTAAAAATTTTATTTACTCCTATAAATGAGTAGAACATCTCAACATTTCAACAAAAAGGCACAGGCGGTCTGTGCACGATAATAGACGAAGATCATTTATTATAGAAAAAAAGCCAGTTTATTAAACTTTAGGCTCTCTTTTTAATTTATAGACACAAATTTTAAAAATAAAAATTTAAAGGCAATAACAAAATATTTTTATTTTTATTTAGCTCTTAGTTTATAATTTTTATTTCTTTTATTGTTTAATTAGACTATTTTATGGATTTTATCAAGTTTAATATTGTTTATTTAAATTGTAAGACTAATAATTATAATATTCGCGTAGATACAAGAAATTCTAGTATTGTTAGTTTTTACAGCAGTATTAGATGTATCTGTTTAAAAAGATTATTAATAATAATAAATAAATAATAGGCGAGACCATCTTCCAAATAAATAACGTCTCAAACGTCAATATTTTTTTTCTAATAATTCCATATATAGAAAGGAATGAATTAGAAATTCTTCGAAAACAATTGATTCACTAGCTTTTGCCGCTGCCTGTCTTGTGTGGTTCAATTTTGATTTAAAAATATTTCCGCATTAAACGTATTAATCCAGCATATGAAATATGTCTATCCCAAATCTCATTCACGTGCATACAGGAAAAAACCACGCCTGCACATAAACTTACGCATTTCTGTGAAAATTAATAAAAAATATAATAAGAGAACTTGAATTTAGAATGAACGAAGTGAATCTTAACGGTAATGCTAACTCTGAAGAGCAACGCGACCGTTTTTGGGAGCGTTTTGGTTGCTCGAGTCTCGGAGTGTGCGCCAGGATTTGCAGGCGTATTCGAAGGAAGGTGGCACCAGAGCGAGTCACCAGCACGGGGAGATCTGCACCAAGGTTTGCACTGAATAAGGCTTTTGAGGGTCGTAACCCTGTGAAACGTAACCATGTTTGAATATTTTTTTTTTGAAATTATGTTTTTTTATGAAATTAAGCTTTTGTTTACCTCTTGGTTAAATTAAAAAAGTTAAGAAAAGCCGGGAAAACTTTAAGGCCGAAAATTGTTGCCATTCTAAACCTATCTAAGTTTTCACACCATTGACAAGCAATATTTTTTGTACCCCAACCATAGAAATTCTAATTAATATAACCTACATACAAAAAATGAGCATTGGCATTTTGATTGAAAGTTCCCTAAACAATCGCGCGTGTAAACAACAAATCAAATCAAATCATTTATTCGTCGAAATAAGAAATATATACATTTCATTTATCGATAGTCATTTTTTAAATCTACCACCGTTTCGTAATGAGGTTCCTCTAACGGAGAAGAAACGGGCGAAAGAAACTCCGTAGGTATCCTCTTTTTTGTCATTTTTCTTCAACAAATCTTGAAGTCAAATAATTTTCAAAATCTAAATTACGATACATATGAAAAGTAACAAATTAAGACTATTGGCACTAGTAATCTTTATATAATAGAGCTTCAAGAAATCTGCATTATTATACGATACTGAGTCACTGAGTGAGTGGGGAAATGTTTGTTTCCATTGATTATTTTGTTTTCATTGGGTTGAATATCACGTGTGTTTAATTAACTTTTTTTTTAAATACTCGAAAAGTATGATTAAGAACAACTAATAAGACATAATAAAATGAAATTCAAGATGCGATAAAACAAAAAGTTTTATTGAATTAAAATAGATTATTCTTTTTCTATTTAAAATATGGATACATTTTATAATGATTTATATTAGGAGACAGTCCTAGTATTCCGCCGTCCGCTTCTTTTCATAATTTCCTACAAATACACATCCTTACATTTGGTTTCCATCAATCTTCATTTCTTCTATTAAAATTATACATATATTTACATTATGTATACTTTATATATATTTTATGCATCAATAATAATGGAAGAATTAAAATACGGACTAAACTGGCAACGTGAAAAGAAATATTTCTTCTTTTTGTGAGCCTTTTTTAGGAGATTTCTCCTAAGAGAGTAATGGTAATAAATATTTTAGTACACATTTTTACACATCGTTCTCTAGCCCCAAACTAAGCAACGCTTGTACTCTAGGGATTAGGTAACTGAGAAACATACTATACATACTTTTCTTTTACAAACAGGAAAAATATTGGAGAAAAACAATGTTGTTGAATATACACACAAAATTTTTCCAGTAGTGGGGACCGAACCCCCTAGCGCAGAAGGCAGGTACACTATCCACTACGCCATTCGGCTCGTCATGACATTCAACTAGTCCGAATGACAGTTAACTAGTCCGTGGAATGACACTCAATGCTGCCAACATGATATAAGCTATCCTATCACGTCTCTATAATTAAATTATGTTTTTTTTTTCTACATTAGGCATCACGCAAGGGTGCGTGCAACAAACACGGGTAACGGGTCAAAGCGACGAAACATATAGGTCACTGCGTTGGTTTAAATTAATTTACAATGAGCATATTTCACATTACGCAGCTTAATAACCCAAAACGTTAATGGCGTGGAAATGCCAGTGGTTCCGTGGGCTAATTAAGTTTTACGTCGCCAATGACACGTCGCTACCTTATAACGAACGCGATAAAATCCCTAAAATAGTTTCGTTATGTTTCATGGAGCTATTTTAGTGAATTGAAAATTGGTTCACTCTATAATTCTCTATATTCATGATTGATTTTAATTTTAATGTTAGACTTAAAATGTATGTGGGAAAAAAAATTATAGAAAAATTGTCAGCGTTGCGGTTTTACTGTGGTAGGACCACGAAACAGACTTCGCTGTTGCAAGAATGGGCAGATCCGTCCGTACCACGAACTCGCAGAAGACCGGCGTGAAGTAGAAATTACAGATTTGCGTTTCGTCTGGTTTGTGAGGTTGCCGGGGCCCACTTTATTAAATTGTGGCAACGCGTCTACAATCCTATGGCTATTGCAAATGTCCATGGGCGGCAGTTACCACTTAACATCAGGTGAACCACCAGCTCGTTTGCCACTTTGTCAATCATATGTATAACACATTAAAAAAAAACTCGCCCAGACGCTTTAACCAAGTAGGCTAAACGCCTGATGACTTCACAGGTGTTAATATCTCGACATGTACGTACTAGCGTTTTTATTGCACTTTTAGTATTGTTTCCATTGTGCAAAAAAGTCACATTTTAAGTTTCATCTTGCGTGCAGATACAAGCACTAAAATAAAATTCCTAAACTTCAATAGAAAAGGCGACATCTCTCATTTAAATATTCATTGTTATAAATTATTTGAACAATCTAAAAATACACGAAGTATATTCTACGTAATAACAGTAATTAACTTAATCATAAC